GATCCGATCCAAACAAGTAAAGCTTGCATTGTGTATGAAGAGGCCATGAAGGGGCAAAATCATCTGAATAAAGACAAGTGAGAACAGTAGAAGAATCACATTCCAATCCAAGCACATGATAAGAAAAATGAACACGAAGAATAACTATAATAGTTCCGCAAAAATGGAATTGATGATCAATACCTTGACAAAAAACCACCACCAAGAAATTGACCTTGCCAATCCCTAAAAACTACCCTCACGAATAGTACCACGATTCCTTGACACCAAATTATCAGTGTTAAGCTTAATCATAGATACCAAGGAGGAGACCAAAGCACATGATGAATAACAGGAGCCTTACAAGTAGTGAAAGGTTGGATATGCAAAGCATAAATGATTCAACTATTCAAACCATGACAGTATCCATGAATAAACTTCCTAACATGAATGCGCTTAGACTTAGTGAACACATATAAGAGGTGTAAAGATACTGGTCTATCCTTAAAAAAAAAAAAAATAGACTTATTGCGTGCTTTCCAAATAGTAGCAAAGGTAAAAAGGCGCACAAAAATTTAGAAATTATGTAACTGACGAGAAAAAAGCTTATGCATGAAAGTATCCCAAAGCATTTCCAAAGAATGAAAAGTGGGCAAGAAAATATCAAACTAACAAGTCAACCATGTCCAAATTTGCTTCGATAAACCTATTTGAGGATTGATGGTGGTTTGCAAAACATAAAAAAGTATTTGATTTTACAGAATACTGATAGCATAATGTTATTCATTTTAAATATTTTCAAAACAACTTGGGACTGATGAATTAACAGTGGCTTTAAGATCTTTAACAACCCCAATTTAACTCATTGATGGGGCATCAGTAGCCACACGCAACTCCCAAAAACACATCAGGGACTGATGAGAGTTTCCTATGCATACATTAGCTTTCAGTTGTAGTGTAAAAAACAAATTGAAGCAGAATTTGAGCATTGTATGATTAAATTACCCACATTGGATTCCCAGAAGGTTGACTGGCTGTTCGTTGGTCAATTACGAGATCAATAACCTTGCTAAACAATGTGAATTAAAATTTAAGCACAGTAGTTTTCTTTTATGGCATCTAGAACCAAAGAATCTAACGCATGTTAAATAAGCAATTTTTAAAAGGAGATGGCAGCCAATAGAAGTTGTAAATTTTGACATCAGACAGTATTTTTCTCTATAGATCTGCCCTACTGCTTTGCCATTAAAATAAACTATTCCGTCCCAAACATCCGTCTGTTTTGGATTGGTTATATTGGTCGGTGTGGACGCCAAGTTGCTTATTCTTTTCTAGGGTTTTTTTATTCAAGGAGAGGAATCCAGCACGTACGACTGGCCATGCAGTTTCATCAACTTCTATGTTCCATTTTTTCCCCCACTTATTTTTGTTCGGGTCGAGAAGAAAATTGGAGATCGCCCACAAAAGAAATAAAATTGAGAGGTCCTATAATATTTTAGAACAAAGATAAACGATGAGGTACTGGAGTAATGATTATTCCATAAGATTGTAGTACTGATGTTCATGTGTACCTAAACAAAAGCGGCCAACAGGAAGAACCTTAAGGCATACTTTTCTATAGAAACCAAGAATTCTTAGTGTCCATCCAAATTTTGGATATACATTCAACCCAATGATTGGCAAACACACCAAGGAAGTTGCTTATTTATGTCTTGCTGAGGAGAAAAATTTCAGTGTGTCTGAAATACGATTATTTTACATAAGTATCATAATACAATTAATTGAAAATTATTACACTTAGTATACCGAATCAGTTCCTTACAAACTGAAAAATCTCTGATTGCCAAGTAAGGAATAAGGATGATAGATATTCTCTATGACAAAGTTTTTTTTTTTTTTTTCCGCATAACTTTAACACATGTTATGTTGAAAAAGGTCAATTCAGATTAGAAATAATTAAGGTGAAAGAGCAGTGAGTGATTAGTGTACTATCATGTGGGTGTAAGAGCATGGGGTTCAATATTCTAGTAGATATGGTGTTTCATTTTTACGTACGCATTTTGTTTTGAACTCCCATTTCTCAAATTATTGTAATAGTTTCAAGTCTTCCCCTTAATAACAATATGTGGAGGTGCAGAGTCACCCAAAAATAAAACAAAAATCTGGACACCAAAAAAGAAAAATTAAAATTCGTTTAGTATTTTTTTAAAGTAAAGTTTTAGAATTGGTTTCTAAACTTTGACTTTAGTTTAAAGGATTAAGTACCTAAAAATCCTCAATTTTTTAGTGTCATTCTAAATTGGCCTCAACATTTTTAAACATTTCAAGCAAGTACCCAACCTATTGAAAATGTCACTACCATCCCCCATCAGGTCCATCACCTCCAAACACAACACAAAACCACCAACTCCACCCTATGACTCAAGCTACCAACATTTAGAAGAAGGTCATGGAGGTTACTGAAATGATATGGACTGCCATGATGCGACCATCCACCATTTTCACCCTCCAACAAGAAGAACTTGAAGCTTTACGAGGTGAGAATTGGCGAATGAGGAAATCACATGAGCATAAACAAGCTCTTTAATTGAGACCTAAATTCTTAATCCTCTTCTTTGTTAAGAGATTGCCCTCTTGACTTAATTTCAATTTGTGTCCATTTTTCAATTCAATTTAATACCTGTTGATCATTGGGTTCCATATTATATAATATTAATCCATGTTTTAAATTTAGATTTTGAGGCAACTAATATTAATATTGTCCAGTTGTGGGTTGTGAATATAATCTATGTTTGAAAAATTAATTGGTGCTTAATGGATGTGACATTTCCAATACGTTGAGTACTTGTTTGAATGTTTAAAAAGGTTGAGACGAATTTGAAATGACACTAAAAGGTTGAGGAGTTTTAGTTACTTTTTTTTTTTTTGAACAAATGATATTATCTATATAATATGATTCAAATTCGTCTTTGGCGAGAATCGAATTTAAGACCTCTTACTTACAAATGAAGAGGAATACCACTAGATCGTAGTACTAAGTGGCTTAGTTACTTAAATATAGTTTAAACGAGTAAAGTTTGGAACTTAATTTTTATTTTTTCTTGAGTAAGGGATTCCTAAAAGAAAGGCAAGCTGCATAAGAAATAAAAATTGTAAATAAAGTGGGAAAGGTAAACCCATTTGATTCTGAATAATTTGATATTCACCCAATGACGAACCTCTGAATATATATTTTGGCTGGAAGAAGTGAAAATATCTTATAACCATGCCTCATTTGTACATACCCATTTTTGCAACCGTCGATTGTCAACGATTTAATAGTTTGAATGAGCTAGATTAGTGCAAAGCTTTATGTGTTTTCTCTAGTTGATAATTGGGTTTTGGTTGAGCTATATTGTTTAAAAGTCATTCAGCATTCAAGTGAAACAAGAGCCAGCTTAGGACGGTGCTTGTATTTAGGGCCAGTTTGATATTGTTGTAAATTTTAGAAATTGTTTATGCTATTTTTAAGAATAACTAGTTATAAAGTAAAGTAAATAAATATTTAGTAAATTATACTTTTGAAATGTTGTCGTGTGGAAAGTAGTGTAACATCATTTAATAAATTTTGAAGTAAAACTGTTGTATTTGTTTTATAATGACTAACGTGTATCAAAAATTTCTAGTGTGCCAGGAACATGGTTCGACACACCAAATCGTAATACAAGCGGTTAATTTTTTTTTTTTTTTTTTTTTTTTTTTAAGTATCCAACCATTTATATTATGACATTTGATAAATCAGGCCGTGTTGCCAACATACTGAAAAGTCTATTAAATAACGTATAGGGTGACAGTGTTATTACTAATCAAGTTAGCAAAAAACGCATTAACTTGCATTTATAATTTTTCCTAAAACTCATGTTAACCTTGACACAAAAGATGTGTTTCGGGATCTTGAAGGGCAATTTGAGATTCCTAATTTTGGTTGCGGCAAGGGTAATTGCAGTAATTAAAGCTAGCTATACAACTAGCTTCAGTTTGAGACTGGAATTTTATTTGGTTAGAAGTTGATTCTGCTTTGGTTCTTTGATTTCTTGGCTTTCCTCGGTGCCTTGGCGGTTTAAGGTAGAGTAGAGGAATTGCTTGCATTAAAGTTTACAATTACATTTTCAATCTTTTCACATTTATAGGGAGATAATCAAGTCGTTGATGCTATTTCAAAATCATGGTACTTCTTCTGCTAGTCTGGTTTGGTCCTTCTTCCAATTTGTCGTATTATCATTGAGATTATGTGGGTCTTCCAAGCTACTGCTTTCGACAGGTTTTCTTTTACTGGCAACTTCATTGTCGTCACAATCACCATAACAAGGCTCAAACAAACGATCTAATAACAAGGCCGATAAAAGAAAATCTATCAAAAGCCCTCACCTGACTTTCGCCCAGCGATTTCTAAAGCATTGAATGTCGCTGGAGTTTGGTTTGAGTGACGCCAGTGGTGATGGTGGTGGCAATTATTGGGTGTGGTTGCGACAATGGCGATGGGTGGTGGCGAAAGGCTGATGGTGGTCAGAGGTTGGTTAGGATGAAGGCGGTGCAATTGGTGACAGTTGCAAGTGGTGGCGTGTGGTGGAAGGTGGAGGCTGTTGAGTAGGGTTGTGCACAGTTGGTTGTGGCTTGGGCTGTGGGGAGAAAGGGTAGATGGTTTCATTTTTAAAAACTAATTAATTAGGGTTACGAGAATTGAAAATTTTATTAAAGGCTCTGTTTTTCTTATCAAAAGGTTTTCAAAAAAAATTTAGATACTGCTTTAAAAAGCTGAAGTCAGATGCCATTACTTCTAAAATAAGTAGACATGGAAAAGGGGGAGAAGAGAAATTTGATTAAGCCATACCTTGAGTCGAACATAACAATTAGGAATCCAACCTTGAGACCCCACATTCACAAGCGGAGAAAAACATATTGTGTACTGTCACCTTAAGGCCACACAATTGACCCACATTCTAAGCCATATGTAGGCAAAACATCTTTGTTGAAAGAGATTATGAGTTTAAATTATATCCACAGCAAGATTTTAAACAAGAGCACATAGCATTCCATAATCTAATATACATATTGTTCTACATAAATATGCCAGCTAAATATGAAGTTCCTAAATATATTGTGCAATGCTGAGGCTTCTCAATAATATATTGAAGAGAGAAAGAAAAGGAAAAGGATATAATTTGACCGATCATAAACTATCATGCATGGTAGCTAATATACATATATTTTTCTACAATCACCCACTGTTGTTTTGTTTTGGTGTTGTGTTGGGGGGGGGGGGGGGAGTGGTAACGAAAGACAACGAAAACAGAAAAGAAGGCAAGATGATGAAGAAATATGCAGGAAGCTCTCATATTGTAGGTGCAGCTTAAATTGTACTTAAGTTGGTCTTGAAACCTGCATTAACAAAACATTTGGCGACTTAATCAGCAGTTTTACCATTAACTACAAGATAGTTTGAGAGTAATATACTAAGAAAATATACAACAGATTCGGTGGAGTTGAAAAAGGAAAATAGTTTGCATACAAGTATAAGTTTTTTTTTGGAAGATAAATGAATTAATTAAAATAAAAAATACAATCTAACATACAGTTTTAATGAAAAAAAAATCATATCTAACCATGGAAATATGAATACAAAAATCGATTAAGCTAGAAGACTTCGTTCTTAAAATATTCCCAAGGGTATATGAAATCCAACCATATAAAGAAGGGGAAAGAGAGAGAGAGAGGTTCTTTCTTGGACTCCGAAAAGTCTCTAATATCATATTCCCCATTGAACAAAGAGTGTTAGAGCGATGATGTAAATGCAACTTGGTAATTATATAAGCTAGATTTGAACATAAAGGGTACACTTAATTTGCAAAGAACAAAATGGTTAGCAGTATACAGAAGAATGTAAATTCATTAATATAATTCATGAGAGAGAGAGAGAGAGAGAGAGAGAGAGAGAGAGAGAGAGAGAGAGGAAAAGAGTACCAGGAAATAGCTTTCACCAGACTCCAAGCTGTGTGCCAAAAAACCAAATTCATTGATTGGAAGTGCGAGTCCAGAGGAATGAACCAATAGCACGTCTTGTCCAAACACGGCTTTCATGTCAAGTGGCCCGTTGGGAACTTCTGTTGGAATCCCATTAATAAACACAGTGATGAGACCTGAAAATAAATTAATGGACGCTTCATGTTTTCAGTAATTCTTGCAATAGCTAAGCTTCTTAATTTGATTTCTGAGAGAAAGATATGATATTCATTGAGGGGTCAAGAACTCATACGAGAGCTACGATAATTCTAAAACAAAGTGAAGGTTATTGGGAACAACCTTGCCAGAACTTCCAACCCGTGTTCAAGGAAAAGGGGCTACGGCAAATTAACAAATCCTTAATTAAAAATGGACATTAGACACTTGATTTGATTAGTACTTGTATTAAGTCCTTGAGCATCATTAAAAAAATGCAGATGTCCTTCAGGTTTCATAATATAAAGATCCAAAGGAACACAAAAAGGCTTTTTTTACAAGAAAAAGATCACAGAATCTTAGGGCAAACAAAAGCAGAATATTTTCCTTATAATTATCTGTTACAAAACTTAACGAATATCTTTCATGAATTAACAATGAAGTTTTTGGATTGGGGTAAAATCATTAAATTTATATTATTATCAAACAATAATTAATGTATTTGCGGTACTCTTGCTCTTTTTCGTTTTTTTTTTTTTTTAAATCCATTTCAATTTCCTAAAAAGGTTTACACTGTTTCTTTGCAAAGTTTTCTTCAAAGTAATCTGAAACCGAGTGGAAAAGACTGCAACAAAAAGGAATTTACAAGGACTTATTAGGGGAAGCTGCAACTTTCATACAATTCAAACACAAGAACTGTCACGTCAATAAAAACTTGCCACTAAATTATATACTTTGTCGTTCTCATACTAATTGTGAACCGATGGAACTTCAACAGTATAATATTACTCAACAGAGTCGAAAAAAATTGCTCTTAAGAAAATTGAATACAAGTTCACGAAAAAAGATAATGGGCTAATTATAAGCTTAAGTCCAGCTTTAGGAACTGATATAACAAATTAAACTTATGGAAGAAATGGAAAACTCATTAAATTCGAGCTCAGATGAGAGGATGTAGTTATATAATATATAGTTTTATTAAAAAGAATTTGTTAAAATTAGGGACACGGTCCGTGCAATTACCAGATTGGAGGTGCAAATTTGAGGTATCAGAAGGGACTCCTCCTAACACAGACGTTACCCCGGAGCTCTGCTCGATTTCCGGAAACCCCATTTGACCAGAAACAGAAAAGAACTGATCACCAACGCAATCAATACTATGATGAACATCATGATCTGCTATCAGATGTTGACCACAAGACGAAGATGAAGAGCCCACAAGAAAATTATTAGGAGAAGCTCCGAAAGCCAAAGGAGGAGCAGCAGTAGGAAAACCGCAGCTTTCTCCATATTGAATTGCACCACCCACTTGGTGTTGAGAAAGAGAAGCCATTTGATTATTGTTTATATTATTATTGGTTCTTTGTTCAAGGCTGGCCTGCAACTGCCGTTGTCGGCGGCGAGATCGCGAACGGCGGTTTTGGAACCAGTAGAAAACGTTGGCATCCCCAACGGAGCCAAACTTCTCAAGCAGTTTCCTTATTCTCACAGTTTCTTCTTTGGGAGGATTCACCATTCCACTGTTGAAAATTGACTCCAGAATTAGGATTTGCTGTGGCTTCGGTATCCATCTTGACCTCACCGGCTCAGGGCTTCTCTCTGTCGAGCCGTTGGTTGGACTGCTATCGTTAGGGTCTTGGCCTTGAAGATGATCTTCCATTTATTCCGTTAGGGTCTTGGTCTTTGAAGCTGCTGAAACCTAGGTTGAATGGGAAAACTAAAAAATTATAAAAGAGAAAAATGTACATATGAAAACGTAGTAAACCTCTTCAAGGAGGTTTGAGGGGATATATAGGGCTCAAAGAGCATATTGATTGATTAGATTACTATAAATTAAATTACATTATTGCCCTTCGCAATTTTTTATTCCCGTCTACGAAGAAATAATACCATCGGACAAGAAAATACATAACGGGTAATCCTCGAGAGGTCATGTTTTAATAGGAAACTTGAGAGCATCAAACATTAATAATGTGAGATGATGTGAGTTGATGTTTTAACAGGAAACTAGTGAACATCAAACATGCGGTGCATGTGATGGAAGTTAGTAGTGCGTTACTAAAGAATGAAAAGATGAAACGTATGCGAGAGATAAAATAAAAAATGAAGTAAATTATAAATAAAAGCAATCTCAGTTTGAATGAGAACAATAATCATGAAATATACAAAAGGCATAATTTTTAAAATGACATGAATCAAATTAATAAATAAACATAAAAATTTAGAAATTTATGTGAAAAAAAAAAGAAATTGGGAGCATAATTCTCAATTTTAAATTTTATCTTAGTTGTCATTTCTAAAATTACATGAAAGTGAGAGCTGAAAAAACAACCATGTGTATGTCACCATCACCACCAACAATCATATGTATATCACCATCGCCACCACTACTACAATGCCCACAACCACTACCATTATCACCACGACATACCCCCCTCATTTTACACTTATCATGGCTCATTTAGATTACGATTCTAGGTATACACTTAGTTTTATTTGAATTTTTACGTTAGCCAAACATCAACCAAATAAATTCTAGAAAATTTAAGGGAGATGTTATTGATATTAAAAAATAATCATTGTGCACTCTTTCTTTTTCTTTTTTTTTTTTTTTTTTTCATTTAAAAGGGGCCAACTGGTGGCTTCGCCACAGTTGTCCACCCATTTTTATGTTAACCAAACATCAACCAAACAAATTCTAGAAAATTTAAGGGAGATGTTATTGACACTCAAAAATAATCATTGTGCAATTTTTTTTTCCCATTTAAAAGAGACTAGCTGGTGGCTTCGCCACAACTGTCCACCATTCTAGGGGCCGGGAAGACTCTGCATTTCAGCCTTCCCCTGGCCGCCATCATGCGATTCACCAGCACCAAATATCGAACCCAGGACGTACCGTGTGCAATATGGGCTTCGAATTCATCCCCAACCACTGGGTCATGACCCTATGGTGGTTCATTATGCATTCTTCATAAGTGTAGTTTTATTTCTCAATATAAAATTTTTAAAGTGCACAATAAATTTTTAAAATGGCAATAACATAATTCTATCGTAGAATTTGTTAGCACTTGAAAATTTCCTCGTTCAGACAAAGGGTAAATAGTAAATTTGTTAATATAGGTAAAAATAAAAAGTACAAAATCAGTATAGCTCCAGATACAATATTTGCTTATGGTATATCTCTCACTAGAGATTCTTCAGTGCTCAGAGTATGGGATAATACATCATGTATCATTATACAAGTAGTGAGATACTTGTGTTAAAAATTTAACAACTTAAGAAATAAACTCCCCTCCGCTTATATAATAAAACATGAGGTATCACACGTGTTTTGGGCACAATAAAAAAAATCCTCATTCACAGCCCAAAAGGCTCTTAAATTACTCATTCTTCTCATGGAACTTCACGAATTGCAGCCACCTTGGTAAAATACACAAAACAAAACTGCAGCTCTCTCAAAGAAATGATGAAACAACTTGGAAGGAGCTATATGGTACTTGTTAGGGATTTTATTGCTAGCCTAGGATTGGACACACTAAGTTCATCAAATAAAATATTTATATGAATAATATTAGTCTTATTATATGTTATACCACACAATGTAATTAGTAATGTCTAAAGGTCACATCAATTAATAATTTTATCTGATTAAATTTTGATTTATATTATTAGAACATCTTTAAATGAGACGTCAAATTTCAATTTGATGTCTGACTTGGTAATTGGACATACTATCAATATTTTCATTTCATCCGATATGCCACAATTTATTGCTTCATTTATGTTTTTTTTTTTAAACAAAAATAATAAAAGTTAAGGTTTTGGTTGGTTTAAAAATAATAAAATAATACTTAAATATGCTAGCATTTAAGGTAAGTGGAATGCCTTTGTAAATAGCAAAAATCATGTTTGACGTCAGTGTCAATTTTGACATTTCTTTGTCCATGTCAGCTTAGCCTTCTGTTCCATGTTAGTTTAGACATCTCGGTTGGAGTAAATGGTACGTTATTTGTTACTCTTATATGTCTATGTGACATTTTTTACATCTCATTTGAAGACGGTTTGAGATGTCAACTAAATATATGACATTGTGGCTTATATACTTATATCCTATTTTACATTTCTGAGAAATCTAAATGAGATTCTACGCAATGAGAAAGATGTAAATCTGAGGTCCCATTTAATTGGTTCTCAATGGTTGGCGGGAATCACTACCAAAAGATGTAAAAAAATGTAACTTAGGTTTTTATTTATATTTTCTAGCCAAGATAGATATTACACATCTCTCCATTAGAGAGCTTTTCAACCAACTAAAAATGTAAAATGCATACATTTCAAGACAATTTATATCTCCCAGTAGAGATGCTCTTACCATAAATTAGTGCCAAATATCGTTGAGGTTCAAATTTTCTCATTCTTCTTAGGATAGAATAGTATAGAATATTACTTCTAATAAAAAAAATGTGACAAATACATAATAATCTTAGGATTACTTATTCAACCAAAATTTAGATACGCTCAAAAGGGTCGACCTTGATCCTCTAGTACTGTAAAAGGAGATAAAAATATACGAAAAACTAAACCACTCACACCTCGTACCCCAACTTCTCTAAATAGAGAACTCCAATTGCAATAGAAAACGATCTTTTGCAATGTTATAAGATAAAGAAACCCTCAGTTTGATAAACACAAACTTGGGAGTTAGACACGAACTCCTCCCCTAGTTGCACACATTAATTGAGGAGGTAAATGAATACAGTACAAGCCTTCTTCAAATTGTTCACCGACCCTAAACGGAGGCAATCTTTCAAAATTCTTTAAACAGAACAACAAGATCAACTCCTGCGTCCATCTCTGAATGTTACTCTCCAATGGGATGGCCTCTATATGCATATATATGACATGCAATTCACCAAAAGAAAGTACAAAAGTTTTACATCTTTCCACTCAGCTCCATTATAGTATTAGAAAATGCGTCTGCATCCTTCAAAAAATTAATTGATAGCAGAATGAATATATATATATATATATATATATATATATATCCAAGATCGTTTAAACTATTAAACTTTTATTTGTCGATGTGAAATTTATATTTTCAACATTTATTCATCATTGTTTGAAAATGGTTCTACCGAAAGTGCTCAAATTTGTGACAATGATAGCACTCTTTTTAGTATGTGGCTCCCTGATTTCTAGCGACCCCCTCGGTCTTGATCTTCAGTACTCCTACTTGGGGTGGCGAAGGATTTTGCCTCATGATCCTCATCACTATTACCCTGTTCAGCTTCCAACATTCAACAAGCGAGAGTTGCCAGGCACGAATATTGATGAAAGGTCTCTGCGTTGAATGGTAAAATTTGATTTTCTAATAAGGGACAATGGCAACCAATAAAATAATAGGAACTTTAATGAAAACCTCTCGGTATTGTTCATTTTAACGAAAAATCACATTTTTATACTAAAAAGTCAATCATGGTACTATTCATTTTACCCTTTATTTTGTTATTATCGTTAAAACTCAAAGTTTTCAAGCCATTTTCATTAGTTTTCCTTAAAATAGTAGTATATCATATAATAATGTGATTATTTCCCATTATTCTTGTAGTATGTTGAGGTTGAAGTAATGATAATAATATATCGATCATCCAAGATATAGTAGAATATGAAAAGAGATCACCCACGTTTCCCACAAAAACAAAGAGACATGGTTTATGGTAATAGTATAATTAAATACAGTAAAACTTCACTACAATAATACTTTATAAGGAATAACCTTTTTAAAGTTATAAAAAGTTTTGTTCCCAACTTGGGACTAGTTATGTACAAAAATAAACTTCACATTGTAATAAGTTATAATTTTTCTTAAGATCATTTTAGTTCTGGTCCCTAATCAGCCTACCTGTTAGACTAAAACCTTATTTGTTTAAATATTTTAATTGAGGTCCTTAGCATCATTTAAGAAATTTAACTCATGCATTTATGCATTTAATGTCCCACCAATTATGAAATTTAAACAAATTCAAATAATATTTATAAAATATTATAAATACTTAAAAATCAATAATAGAGTAATATTGTTCTTCACAAAATTATAGCAAAAAATAATATACCCACATAATTATTAACATATTTTTTAAAAGTAACTATTGATATATTTTAAAAACATAAAATAAATACATATATTTAGCATGGGTACATTCAAAAAAATTAAAATTGGGTACAAATAAATTAAAAATATGGGTACACATGCATATAAAAGTTTAAAAAATATGGGCACAAAAAGATTTTAATATATGGGTACAAATTAAAACTAAAAATAAAATTGGTACAAATTAAAAAAGGGTTTGCAAATTAAAAATGAAAATATATGATTAAAAATTTAGCCATAAATATAAATATTCCATATGTAACATTTGTAACATTAAATGAATATATTTAGAAATATAAAATATTTTGTTATTGAAATAATTAATGACATTTATTAAAACCAAAGGACCTTGATCAAAAATTGAAAAGGAATAAGGTTTCAATCAATGGAGTAGCAAAAAGAGGCATGAGAACCTAATTTCTTCTTTTTCTTGATCCCATCTTAAGGAAACATGCATCTACATAGTAATAATTGTCATTGAGTACAAACATATACAATATCACAAATAAAAGTCTAAGATAAATTAAATATTTCTCTAAAGCTATTTAGGACAATGTTTTAGTTTTTAGAGATGATGTCGCATTTTTGAGTTTGCGGCTATACATATACGCAAGAAATAA